ATTTTAACGCCTTATTTGATACCCGTAGACCATAGTCGAAGGCTCAGCGTAGTCGAACTCCAACAAAGTCCAATGAAAGCCAACAAAAACCTGAATCAATCACCTTCCACTATTCTGGTTGTTATCGGCAATCACCCTACGCTTAGTAGGAGCACGTTTGCACGGAAAACGTACAGGCTTGCGGTCTACGTCACGTTACAGTTCTCGTCTGATTGTTTGCGGAGCTATCGACTTGAATACGTGACGCTCGGTCCCATTGCGGTTAGCCGTGTTTGTATTGCCTGTGTAATTTGTACGGTGATGGTAAATGTCTGGATTTGCTCACGTACCGACTTAAATGTTTATAGGGTATACGCGGATTTTAAGCTGATCGTGTACTAAGCTTCTCTTGTTGAGTAGTCAGCTATTTGAAGCGACTAAGGCTTTGTGGGTACGACGACTGATGTACACGTATCAAATGGTGCGGTTATACTGGTGCTTAATTTGAATTTTCGGGTAACAGCTATTATAACTATGTATTGGAGTCAATGCTTGTTAAAAATGATTAAATTATGTTATTATTTTTGGGTCTGTAATGACTAAGCGAATATTTACCTACATAGACATCATGTTTTAACCTATTTCTGCCTCATGTGTTGTGATTTAAAAAAATTAACTGATACTACAGTACCACTGGGATTTGCAGCTCAAGTCTCAGAGTGGTTGGCGTAATTCACAATGTGGTCTTTCCAGGATCAGCATTTTTTATTGTCTTTATAGGCTGACGAGCAAACAGTAAATACAATGGTGAGTGATCCTACCCTCAAGGACGTCAGCAGTACCAGGGGCACAGCTAAGCTGCTGTTAACCAAGGACTCTACTCAAACATAGTTTGAAGAAAGATATCCCATACTATTTTGAAACAGCGTGGAGGAGGAAAATGATACTATCTGAATAAAAAGCGTGTTAAAAATTATAGATTCGTTTTAATAAGTATGTGTTCTAAAGTAATTTTAAAGGACTTTTATGTGGTATGTTACATTGTTAATGTTTTTTCACGCTGAAGTAGCTTCAAAAACAATTCAATTAATTTATACGCTATTGTTTTAAAACGATTCGAGCGATGAGAACTAAGAAGCGAACGTCATAATTTTATGAGAATAGGAGATCTGAAGTAAAATTTCGGACAATAATTACCTAATTATTTTCACGTATTCGGAGTTTTTCCAGACAATATGATTGCTGATGTAAGTTCTTTATGGAATTTATGGCGAATACTGGTGGTAGAACCTCTTGTGAGTCCGCACGGGTAGGTACCATCACCCCGCTTATTTCTGCCGTTGAGCAAGAGCAAGCTTACTTTAGAGTGAGCCATAAGTTTTGAGTGCGTCACAGTGAGCCTGCACTTTATGTGTAGACAGTGCACCGGTTTATCGTAATTAATTACCTTGCACTTGCGAGCCTAAGCGCGACTTTGTCCATATGATTACTTCTAATTGATGAGAGATCATCGAATGTCATCACAAGAATCTTCAGCTGAACTTCAAGTTCAATAATACACTACCTCACTTTTGTAAGGTATTAAATATCTTTTTTAGAATGGGCAGACGGTTCTGTAGGCATTTCCAGCTTCACTAGGACAGTAAACGAAGTCGAGAGCTCAGGTGGGAGGACGGGAAGGGAGTTTTTTTTTTTATTGCTTGGATGGGTGGACGAGCTCACAGCCCACCTGGAGTTAAGTGGTTACTGGAGCCCATAGAAATCTACAATGTAAATGCCCCACCCACCTTTAGATATAGGTAAGTTCTAAGGTCTCAGTATAGTTACAACGGCTACCCCACCCTTCAAACCGAAACGCATTACTGCTTCACGGCGGAAATAGGCGGGGTGGTGGTACCTACCCGTGCGAACTCACAAGAGGTTCTACCACCAGTGATTACGCAAATTATAATTTTGCGGGTTTGATACTGAGAAGATCCCACGAGAAATTCAGTGGATTGTGTCTATGGGAGCACCGCTATATATTTTATCAATTTATACAGCCTTGAAAGTATTTTGTTTACGAACCCCAAAAACCTTACCGAATAATATGTCAGTTCAAATTAGATTCATAGGCTCATTACAATGACTGGGGTGTGGTTTTAAACATAAAATCAATTTGTTACCTTTTTAGAGAAGAGAATAACTTCTTTATCTCCCGTCATAACAACCTTTCCTATAAACGAAGCTAATACAACGTAAACACAAATAATAAATTTTCGATTCAAAGCAAAAAAATAATACCCCAGGAATATCTTGAATGCAAATACAAATATTTGTAATTCTAAGTTTTTTATTTTTATTTTTATCAATAAAAAAAATCATAATAAATATGTATACCCAAATAATTATTTTCTTTATACCTCGAATAGAACTTTAAATTAATATTTTATAATAAGGAACTTCGTTCCTATCCGGTGTCCCACGACACCACACATCTTTTTTGTTCTGTTCGCAATTATATTCGCGTCTAAATAAGTTTATCGGAAAATCTACGGGAAACTTTTCGTAGTATCAGCGACAGCCGCAACGGAGTCCGGTTATGACTTAATTGGTTAAAAACTAAGAACCAGACTTCAGTTGGTCTAAAAGTAGCGAACCATTTAGTTAGCAACAATATTAATTGCTGGTTTAATGTTCATTTGTTTCGCACGCCATATGACGCAAATCAGAAATTGCTTTATTAAATTACGTATTAAAAAAACTTTATGACAGAAAAGTATGTGCGCATATTAGTTATGTTTAAAATAGTTCCCATATTACAATACAATGGAATGGCGTATATTATATTTATAATAATATCAATGAAAAAAAAGTCTAATATTATTTTAAATTAAAAGGAGTAGTTTATTAATTACAATGGCATATCTTAATAGGGTTGTTTTCCGTATTATGTCGAAGTTACAGATTAGTATTATAGATATTTGTGTTCACGCATAGGTAAGCTTAATTTTTATTGGTCCTTGTGGACAGATAAGCACACGGCTTGATGGTAAACAGCCACCGTGGCTCGTGTACATCAGCAATGCCAGGAGAAGAACTGCTGAGTAGCGGAAGCGACTTAATAGTGTAATATTTTTCTTAAAGAACCTTTCAATAATTACTGCTGAAGTATTTAAAAAAAAAAGTAGGCAGCGGCTTGGCTCTGCCCCTGGAATTGCTGAAGTTCATGGGCGACGGTAACCACTTGCCATGAGGTGGGCCGTATGCTCGTCTGCCGACAAGGGCAATAAAAAATAAAAAAGACACAGCCCACTGAGTTTCTCGTCGGATCTTCTTAATGGATCGCGATTCCGATCCGGTTGGTAGATTCTGGGAAGCACTGCTCTTGCTGGGGCTGGTGTTAGAAAATTCTCTCTGGTTCAACCCGTGAGCTTACGTTGAAACTTAATTGAAAAATGTTTCATTCATTTAATATTGTGAAAATTTTCGAGCGCTTCGCGCCAAAACAATTCGGCATGTACCCAGGATATCGGAATTCCCTTTTTTTAATAAAATTCTTAATATTAAATAAATATTTAATATAATTAATATATAATTAAATATTTAATATTAAAAATATTTGTAATGTAATGTTAAGCTTAAAAGCTAACTTATTAATGCTAATTACGAGTATATTCAAAAACTTCAGAATAGTATAATATGCCAATGAAGATGTCAATTACTTAATCTATTTTAAGGTTTAAAAAAATCGTCTCAATTAATTTGATAAGCTATAAATTTCCTCACGTACCTATAAATTAGCATATAATTTTATTTTTTATTTTTATTGCTTGGACGGGTGGACGAGCTCACAACCCACCTGATGTTGAGTGGTTACTAGAGCCCATAGACATCTACAACGTAAATGCGTCACCCGTCTTGAAATATAAGTTCTAAGGTCTCAAGTATAGTTACGACGGCTGCCCCACCCTTCAAACCGAAACGCATTACTGCTTCACGGCAAAAATAGGCAGGGTGGTGATACCTACCCGTGCGGACTCGCAAGAGGTCCTACCACCAGTGAAGATTAGGTAGATTGTCTAATTATTGCGCGCGTAATATTACATTCACCTCTTTTCCAGTTTATTTATAAACTCTAGACTAATTTATGTATCCATTTCTTTATTCAGGCATAAAAATAAACTGTACACAAATCGATTAACAAAATAAAAATATATATTCACTGACGCGCTCTTTAAAAATAAAAATAAAATCCGAAAACTTTTTAATTCCAACAAATAAATTTATACAAACTAAGGCTTTATTAATATTTTCGTAGACGACAATTTTTCATATCCTTATTTGAAAATGGTTAAAAGTTTTGATTAAATATGAACATCAATCCATGTAGAAGTAACTATACTCTTTACAGTATCATCCTAGTCCTATGTCCTTTAATTACTAATTTCCTTTTTAAAGCAAGACAATAATGACGGTCACCCGTGTTACGTGCTAAGGGTTTTTTCTCCAACTTTTATTCTTTATTACTACTAGGTATATAATTATAACTAAGTTTCTCACTATTATATATGTGTGTATATATGTAGATTAAACAAACAATATACATATATACAATTCGTTCACTGTTTAATTATGTATTATTAGTGCATCTATTTGGTTACATCAATTTCAAATTATCATGTTAATTTATTATAATCAATTTTTAGTGATACAATTCAACTTGTTTACTTTTATTATTCTCTCATCTCTGATTCATTCATGATATAAAATTAATGTTGTAACATTTTCGTATTAAAATCAATTTTGATTGGATCATTGTTTAATAAGCTATAATATATTTTATCTCTTATCAATAATAATCGGTGCGTTATAGATTGAACGAAATCTAAATTCATTTATAGTTTATTGAAATTTAATTCAAAGTGGACATATGCATATGATAACTTTTTGTTAGAGATAACAAGACAACAATAACCTCATTAGTTAAACTTTTATGATAATGATTTTCCAATTGATAGAATCTGTAATGCGGTACTTACATCAATATCGGGAACATACGAATAGACATGGAGCTTATCGATTCTGATCGTACCCTGAAATGGATACAGTAAAGCCCCCCGCTGTAGCTCTGTTGATGTCCACACACTGACCGAAGCTTCGCGACCTCTCGCACCCCCCGGCCTCAAAGCCAGACTCAGTTCCTGAGGTATCAGTACTAGAGTCTCCATGTTTATATCACAACAGTTTTAACATTCAAAACCATAAGCCTCGTCCATCACGTCCCTAATTAAGAAGTCGGGACGTCGATCCGATTATCGATCGGTGATGTCGCCGACGATATATCGTTCGGGTCCGTGATCGATAGCCCGTTCGGAACGTCGTGCCGTATTAATCACTGCGCGACTTATCTCTAATCACTCGAGCCCTATAAAAAAAAAATTAAGTCCGTATTGTCCGATAGGGTACAGCACAAGCGCGGGATGCGCACGCGGTCTCCTCTCAACGTGCACTGAAGGAAGCGCTAACATTGACCTTAGTCGCGGCCGTGATCGCGTTTACAGTTCATTTTTTGTTCGATAAAAAGGAGAGGAGTAAAGCCCTACAACGTACGCTACCTGATCAGCCACCCGACTTTGAGCTTTACGTGGTTGTGTTAACGTTTACGTGTGATGTATTGTTTAGTTTGTAAGGTGTGTAGTAAGGTGCTCCCCTCCATAGGCGGGCACCTGCATGAGCGTGCGCCGCCCGTCAGATCAGTCGCGTTCGTTATGAAGCGCACCTGATGCCACCTGCTAGCTAAGGCACTATCGCCCAATGTTTTTTATGCGATGACATTTTTAAGGAACCGTATAACATTAGAGAAGCCTCGAATTCGGGCGGGCAAACAAAAAAATTTTCACCTTTTAGATTTTATGAATGGTAATTTTTTTTATTGGATTTTAGAAGTGTTCATTGCTGTCTATTTTACGATAAGCGTTATTAATCCTTGATTTTCTTCTAAAATATATATTTTTTTAATTGTTTTTTAAGGAAACCTATATATAGATACAATATTTGGAGGTCATAAATTACAAAATTGAAAAGCAACGTCAATCTATAAATGGCAGTATTTAAACAACAATTAAATGTACCATTCGAGTGTAAGGTACTTTGACAATTTAGGGATTTCAAAATAATGCGACCGAATACAAATTGATATGTAAAAAATAAACAACCCTACGTTTTAAAGTTGAAAATGATATTCCTCAAATGCCTACACTTTTTGAATTAATAACTTACAATATACGCTTATTTTATTTTGAAAAACACTTAGTTACATTATTATTTTGCTTTTATGAGTCCGCTGTAGATACTGATTTGGCTAGATATACATTTTTTATATTTATGATTGTGTTGTTGATATTCGCAATAATTTAATTTTAATGGTAATTATGAAATTTTCAGTGTTTTCAATCAATAGTGTATTTTTTAATCCCTGTTTTTTTTTCTTCACTTAATGATGTTTTTATATAAGTATATTTTTATACAAGTAGGTTTTGCTGAATATCACTTCGGATTGCTGTATTTGCGATACTTCGATAGCTATTATAGTGATTGAGATATGAATTTCATACTTTTTATGTTAATAAAAAATGTGTTATGGTTATGGTAATACCTAATTTAGTTTTTATTAAAGGTAATAGAAAATAAATAATTTTACTCATATTGTTACTATTAATTTTAATTATAAAATAATAAAAATTAGAGAAATTGTTGCATTTATTATATTCAATATTTATGTTTAATTTTACTCTTTGCAAATGAAACTTCAAGTAGTAAGTACCTACTTAATAGAAATATTGTAACCTTCAGAAGAACTTGAAATAGTTATGTTTCGGCCATATAAATATTGTTTTTTTGACTTCAATGTCACGAAAACTTACAATGAAATCCTCAAACAAGAATATTTTTTTTACATAAAATTATTTTTATAAAAAGGTCTAATTACCAACTTGTTTTTTTTTTGTTTTTTTATAATAAATTACAAAATTCGCACATTATTTCTAATTAATAACGTAATAAGTATGAAGACTGTCGAGTTCATAATTTTTTTTTACATATTATAATGAGCACATAATAAATTAGTGATTTTTTTTTGTATAGTGAAGATTTTTTTTTGTAAACTTTATAAATAATTAGTTACTTCTGCAGACCTTACAACTCGCGAACCAATGGAAGTGATAAAGTAGCCACTTGTGAACCCTATATTTGATACAGTGTGAATTTCACACCCATTTTGAGGCTTGAAATCGAATTTAAAATAAAATTTGTATTGCACAACGGCCGTAGCTTCACTGCAGAAATACATACAATGATATTACAAGAGTTTTATATGTATTTATAACACAAGTGTATCTGACTTTAGATTTCTCTCTCTCTTTCCACCTATTTACGACGATTACGATTACCAGGAGAAGTTCGACGAGCGAACAAGGATGTCTTAAACTAGGCTGGGGCCCTTGGGCACACAAGAATTTGAGGCCCTTTTGGAAAGTAAAAAAAGCGAATTATAATAACATTTTTTTACTGAGTATGACTATTTATTATAGGTTAATCAAATACAGTATGATATAATAATATTAATTATATTAGAACGCTGCTGGTTTTTTGGCTACGATTACGATAATGGTTTCTTTCGGGATTTCTGTTGAGCAAAATATTCCATTATATCTTTAAACTACATTTTTTAAGGATATCACTTTCTATGCCCATAATTGACAAATTACTCAGCCGTTCTTGTAACATTGTTGTTCGCAATTCATTTTTTATTCTCTTAAGCTGCGAAAATGACCGCTCTCGACTACAATTGGTAACCAAATTGTTGGTCCTTCGGGGCCCCTGAGAATGGGGGCCCTGGGCACGGGCCCCGTGTGCCCTTATGGTAAAGACGGTATTGCGAGCGAACGAACACAGACACAGGCCACTGAGCTTCTCGCCGAATCTTCTCAGTGGGGCGCGATTCCGATCCGGTGTTAGATTCTGCGAAGCACTGCTCTTGCTAGGGCCGGTCTTAGCAAATTCTCTCAAGTGAGCTCACCTAGGTACCCCTTCGCGCGAAACTGGAATAGCCCCTGGGGTTACCAGCGAATAGCGCAAAAAAATTGTCTTGTCATCGGCTCTTGATCTTTGTGCAAATTTTCAAGTTAAGTGGACGTCTTCAAGTCAATGAAAATAACCTTTCAAGGTTCCGTTACATACAAAAATAAATTAGTAAAAACTTAATTACTATTCATTATAAATAAATATATTTCCCGGTTCTACTGTGACGAAACTGGATCTTCCTGGATCATAATTTATTTATAATTATGACCACCATATCTACCACCATTCTACAGCATAGCATTCGCTAAGCTGTAGAATCAACTGTATGACTTGAGCTTAATTTGGAAACGCGCGGTACATTCGTCGGTATTGCCATAAATTCGTTTTTATCTAAATAAATGCAAATACATCGAACATGTGTTCATGGCAACATTTTGCAATTGAGAAACAGTATTGTTCGAGTGTATATAAACGGAATTGCCGGTGGAGGGTTTATTATGAACCCGTACGTTTTTGTCGAGGCAGTGCCAATGGCGAAGTGGCTTTCAAGGACAGCTGGTATGTCAATCCTCGTACTGTCACTCCACGTTTCATATAGAAGTCGAATATGGAACAATAAAACAATTGTTTTTCTCAAACAACATCGCGGTGGTTACACTGTACAGTGAGTCACTCAATCTATAAATAAATCTCTAACTAACTCTAACTAGTAACCTAATTGAATTCATGCTCATTTGTGTTCTAATGACGTATTTTCAATTTTATAAAACATAATTTTACAAGTCTATTTACAATTGTAGTAGTTAATTAATCTAAAAATCTTAACTACAGAAGCAGCTAGGCGTAATTAAAACTATTGTACGACTTAATTTTACAGTTTTTTATTGTCATTATAACTTTACGAAAACTGTAAAGCGTTCGTAACGTCTAAAATATTAAAATATGTAAATACAATAAAAAGCACGACAGTAAACCGTAAAATTGGTTTTAATTATGTCCACGGTATGCGAAAACTGAAGAAATCGCCTAGACTGCTGATAATTCTAAGACTAGGCACTTTCTTTATTGTCAATATTTTATTTGAAATGACTTTATGACGTAGCTCTCGTTCATAACGTAACGTGTTCGAAAACAAGTGAAACTGTGGTTGGCGGCAGGTGCTCACAGGTCGTCGACATTTTCCTTCATGTATTCCTATCTTTAACAAGCGATAATGAGTCTTATTTCAATGAAATTGTATTCACTAAGGACACAATATTGTTCAACGAGAACTAAAAAATGAATTAGCGGAACACAGATTAAGCTATGCACGGCGAAGATTAATGAAGTGGTCAAATTTATTTTCGTTAATTTTATTAAAGTAATTAAAACGTAATTCTGTTTTTGTTTTTGAAATTTAAGTATCCAATGCCTATTTTTTGGCGAAGTTACGCATGCACAGACCCACCCACCCAGTTAGAGATTTGTTTTACTTACCAACATCCCACAAAAACTTGGACTGGATTTCTAAAATTTAAAATCCGAATTTGGAACGATCGAAACCGAAGAAATATTCGATTTCGTTGTGACCGTTACGAATTTAAATTCAAAATTAGTTCCATAATGTTGTTTATATAAATATATTTTTTGGATACAAAAATCAGTTTGTCGGTGCGAGAGATACGCGAGGCGTGGTCTGAGGCGTGGTCTCCACAGGCCAACCTCCTGCCGTGCGTTACCGGTAAACTATTGTTTGCCTTACTCCATAACACTATTGGCTCATACAATTTGTTTAATATTCGAACAGATTCAATCATATTTTTATTTTTAAATCCGATTTCATTGGTGAAACGAATACCTTTAATAATGTTGAACCGATATGTTGGAATTAAATATATGAAATTATTTTATTTTACTACTACTTTTACGGTTTGATCGACGGAGAGTTGTCAGTGACCACGAAACATCTAATTATTCGAAACATCTATTCTCTTCTAAGTCGTAGTGGCCTAAAAGATAAGACGTTCGGTGCATTCGTATCTGGCGATGCAACCGTGTTCGAATGCCGCAGGCAGGTACCAATTTTTCTAATGAAATACGTACTTAACAAATATTCACGATGTTCCACAATTAAAATTTTCTTAAAATGTTCTAAAATACTAATCGA